TGAATAATCTAACATATGAAGAATTTTTGGTAGTGAAAAGCACAGATTCTTTTGATGAGCAGTCATGCCTGCATTTTCAGATCAGTAGTGTATAAATAAGCAGTTCTTATATGAGGGACACAGTGTCATGCAGCTCCCAGTTGCATAGCTTCTGCCTTCTATATTTCAAAGCATTTTGAGAGTAAAATCCAAATCCATTACTCTTCTGAGCCCTGCAGTGTAACATGAATCATGTTGGTTCAGCTTTTTCGTTGAACAGGCGAAGAGAATTAATAAGGAAAGGCAGTATGCTTAATGGTAAAAGTAGGATAAGAAATGGCAAGATGCGATGGTGGGTGGTTTGCAGCACTTGGTGTTCTCTCTTCTAATAGCAGTGCCAGCTTGTGTTCAAGATGTTGGTATGGACATCAGTATACCCTGGCTGCTCACTTCCAAAGACGTGTTTAGTGGCTCAGATGACACTGTGCTCTAGTCTTAGTGAGTGTGTAGTTAGGTATACTGCGCCTGCAGCCAGAACTCTTCAGCTACTCCATTGAGATGTAAACTCTGTAGACCTTACTGACCACATAATTTAGTGTTTATCACTCGCATTATGCAGCTGGTCTGAGGAGGAGGTGTTTTATGAAGGGGATGTTGGATACAGTGCAAGTACATTTTCTGCCATACTGCTTTGACGCATGGACTTTATTGCTGTCCATGTATAATACCTGCCCCAGTGCTGATCCAGTTCCTGTGGTCTGTGAGTTTTCGGTTGTCTTTGCTGCTACATGCCCACCACCAGCACTCCACAGTGGTTTATAGAAGTGATGACACTCGCAAGAAAGATGGTGATGCTCTTCACATGCAGGGGTTTTGTCATTCTGTGGGCTGCTTTGGACGGAGGCTTTGCTGCTGGCATGTTTTGTCACCTGTTGCTGCGAGGCAGTCAGCCCCGTGCGGTCAGAAATCTGGTGGTTTATGCTATTGTGGTAATGACAGGACTGCTAGCGCTCTGCACATTCCTCTTGAGGACCAGTTCAAGCCTTCTAGGTAATAAGCATCACGTAGCCTTTCTTTCTCAGGTTGATATGGAACCTACAAAAGCTCTGTGGCCCTCGCTCTCTTAGCAGCGGCTTGGAGACCCAACAGGGAGTTCCAGACTGAAGCCAGGATCTAGGGAATCCTTCTTCGAGACCTTGATGCTGTTTTTCCCCCTAATGGCTGTAGCATCTTCAGAGGGTCCAAGAGGGGAAAGACCTGAAAGAGGCAGGGACCCTGGCGCCAGGGCCAAGCTGTCATTTTGGTTTTGCTTATCAAACCCTCTTAACTTCATAATGAACAAAATATTAAGCCCTCTCTACCCTGATAACATAAATTCATTTGCTTCTGCCTTTCCTCTGCCACAGTCATGAGGAGTTTTCTGTTCTCTAGCATGTGAAGAACAAGGGTTTGAATTTTAACTGCCCCTGGTATAAATGCTTAATGCTGTAGGAGAAATCCCTACATACGTAACAAATGTGTTACGTTCTTTTTTTTTTTTCTGACCCCTTTATTCTGCAGGAGAATTGTGTGTTCAGAGGGAATTGAAACTCCTTAGTTTACAAGATTAAGGTAAACCTACTTACTCTACAATAACAGTCACAAGGACAAAAATGCAATTTTTAGCCAAGGAGCTGAACACAGTGTACATTATCAAATGGGGAAAAAACCCTCTTCCTGGTAGATTATCCTTAACACTTCCAGTTAATGTTCCAACTGTTGATCCAGATGAATTGCATCTTTTTTTACTGTGCATCTTTGTACCAGCGAACATATTCTGGCATGGTCAAGGCTTGGCTATACCTCTACATCTTGGACTATTTTCTATGTGTACTTTTCTCTCTAAATGCCTTTTTTTAAATCCATTTATACATTTCTTCAGCTGCCAAATGGCTCTCCTGCTGTGGCAGATGCTTTGGCTTTGTGCTTGGTCTTTATCCCTTGTATGTCCAGATTTTGTTGGTTATACAACATTTGTCAGCTACTTGCTGCTATTGCTCTAGTGAGCTTTTAGATAAGTGTGAGAAACTTTTTTCATGTATGTGAACTAAGGAGGTAGTGTTCTGCATCAGCTTGCTTTTAATTGTGAAACTCAGGTTTAGAGGCAGTTACCTTGGAGACTTTGAGTGGAAACTCTAGAAAATACAGTAGTGGGTGTTACATATATTGGTATTAAGTTTGGTACCATAAATATGCAAATAAACCGTGGGTCCCTTCGTCCTTGACTCCCTAATGCTTTTAACAGTCCATAAACCACAGCAATTTCTCCCTCCCCTTTGTCCATGCATGCCTACCTGCTTGGCGTATACGCAGTTTATTAAGATATCTCCTGGAAGGAGGCTGCAGATGAAGACTTTTACTAACTGCACTATTCAGTAACAACCAGAAATGTCCTATAGCAAGAAGCTTTAATGTGGTTGCCAGTATTGTATTAAACATGTTCCTCTTCGGAGGGTCCTCCAGGTTGCCCACCCACTCAGCCGTATTTAGTCATCTAAAATAATGTTATTTCTCTATACGTCCACATCTGTTTTCACTCTATTGCCAATTGAAATGCTGCTGTATATTCTGTGTGTATTGTGGCTACTTTCCCAGCATATTGAAAATTTACGCAGTGTAAGGGGATTTTACAAGTTCTCAAAAAACATGAAGTATTTTCCCACAGTAGCCACACCATATAATGTCTAAATGAAATGACATCTATTCACAGAATTAAAATGTGCACCTGCGTATGACTTACTGCTTTATTGTGCCTTCACATAGATATAAATAATACTTTAGTTTCTCTTATTTGAGGCCAACGTTTTCTTATAGGGAGCTTATTAAATTGCTTCCTATAATGAACTTCTAAGAATTAAGTTAGCTAGCGTTCTGAATGTCTGGTGAGCAAATTATAATGACTGCTGTTTTGTTTAGGAAACTGTTACAAGCAAAATTTCTGATTTGTGGTGTTCTTAATGTATTCTGTAGCTATCGGTAATCACTGTTGCAGGAAGCTGAGGTGTGAAAGTGCTTAAATGGTGTTTGAGCAGTCGGCAGCTAGAGTAATTCGGCGCGTGTTACATACAACTGCTTATTTCAGATCTTTCCAAGAACTCTGCTTTAGGGAAACTCCCTTAAGACTTCTTGGAATTGAGTGTCTCGACATACATGGTTTCTAAAACCACTTAAAATGGCCAAGTCAAATCTGTGATGCTTTATCTCCTATGCCTTCATTGTTAGTACTGCATTTTAAAATAGCTTGCCCTTGTATCTGTAATTATGTTGGTTCAAGCTACTGATGTCTAAAATCCTCTCCTGTTTCCGAGGGTCACCTCTGTAGCAGCAAAGGAGTTAATGAGTTGCAGTTTGGCTCTCAGATGATAAATCTTCAGCTAAAGCTTGAGAATTGTCTGTCCTTCTTCCTCAAAACCTCTGTCCCATGCTGATCAAGTAGCATAATGAGCGGTCTGCTACCTTCAAGGCAGGAGTCCAAGGCTGGACCCAGCACAGTGTCAGATTTGAATGTTTGAAGCCCAGTTTCCAGTCTGACAATCCGCAATGCACTAGCTGGCCAGAAAAGCTGATCCCCAACTGACAGATGACTTGCTATCTTAATTTCATTAGCTTCCCCACCAAATTGGAAGAGAATGAGAGGGGATGAATGACCTGTCAGCATGTTCCTCTAGAAGCATCTCTTAGTACTTATGATTTAGATAAATTCCTGTGGGTGCAGCAGGTTTGTGTTATGACTATGTATAACTCTCTCCAAATTGCATAACGGGAGACAGTTGATGGGGCAAATGCGTGGAATACAAAGGGGTAGGTTAATTTTCCTTTGGAGCAGACGTGTTTTCCTAGAATTGGGATGTCATAGGCACGCTGCACTTTTGTCTTTAATAAGCATTTCAGTTACTTTTCCAGCCTTGGAGGAGCTGCAGAGTTGCCTGCTGTTGCTTTGAACGTTAGGATTTGGTTACAAATATGCTTTTCCAAACAAACTGGCAGTCGATCAGCTTCTCCCTGGGTTTCCATATGGTATTTGGGGAGGATCCCAGGGAAGTAACTAAATAAATGGCCTGTTCTGGTGCCTATACTGGAAGACAGAAAGCATCCAAGCCTGTCTGAGTACTGCAGGTGTTGGCCTGGAGTTCTGCACATCGATTCTCTTATGATTGTTGTGACGAACTTTCTGTCTAAAATCCCACATTTCTTTGAAACCGGTGTTGGTTGTCTTACAAGGAGTAAAGCTGTTTAAAACATGGAAATCATCCTGGTTCTGCTATGAAATAGTTTGCAGCTTTTAAAGGTGTGTCAGATCTCTTTTCTTAAAATTATCTCTGAGAATGAAAATGTTGAGAATTATACTCCCTCAGATTTTAAGGGGGGGTCGAGGAGGGGAATAAGTTTGGATTATTTGAAATCTTATAGTCCCTGTTCAGTTCTGGTTCTTATCAGGCTTTAAGGTGCTTAGAAGAGGCTTTCATACCGTAAAATCCTTTTTGAGGATGGGTAATGGCGTTTGGCAGGTGAAATGACTGGGTAGGGGAAGTAAGGATCCAAGCACTCCCACCACCTCCCTGTTGGACACAGCAGTTCTGTAATGCCTGTTACTCTGGTGAGGCTGAACGTGGCACCAGAGGAGCTCCTGGTTTAATCTTTGCTGCTCATGTCAGGTGGTCGTGTAAATATGGGGGAGAACTGAATTGTTAACGAAATGTACCTCTCTAATAGCTCCGTTGGAAAGTCTCATTAAGGTTAGTTATCCATAATTTTCACCACTAAACACAGCTTTTGTCATGACAAATTGTAAAAGTCCTAATTCTAATTCATTGTGTTTTGTGTATTTTTATTAGAGGAGAAAAGATATGTTTAAGTTTTATATACTTGAAATTTAAGGATGACGTATGTAAAAGCACGAAGATTGCTGTGTATGTGTTGGAGTAGCCGTGCTCAAGCGTGCAGCCTTGTACCTAACTCCTGATTGTTTCCCCTCTTGTCAGACTATAGAATCAAACTGGCGATGTGGGCGACACAATTTGCAAAGGATTCAGTGCCGCTCTGAAAACAGCAAAGGTGTCTACTGTTTACAGTATGATGATGAAAAGATTATCAGTGGCCTACGAGATAACTCCATTAAGGTAAACACTTTTTTCAGTCTTTTCCCTACAGCTAAGTGGCTAATTCTGCCTTGGAAAGCTAGCTGCTTGTGTTTCCTTGATTTCTCTCATCTCTTGACTGGGGACGGTATTTATCTGTGCAGGGCTTACTTATGAGGATAGGAGGTCTTCAGTAGTCTGGCAGAGTTCTCACCCACACTTTGCTCTGGAAACTTTGGGGACTGCCAGCCAGAGATCAGTACTACTGACCACAAAGAAATGTTTGTGAAATCAGAGTTCACATAACACGAATGAGGACTGCGTGTGCCTTAGCTGTGTCTTTTGTCCTCGCTAGTAGTTTGCTTTCATGCTAATTGTCTGTGGCATTTCCTTTTGCAAAATAGGCTTTTATCTTTTCATGATCATTGGTTATTTCACTGTTCTGTCAAAAACTTGCATCAAGACTACCTTAAGCTAAAAAGGAGGACAAGCCCACTGGTTGGACAGGCTAACTGCCCACAGATTCTTCCTGCTATCTCTACTTTTCTTCCTTCACAGTTGCAGCAATGTTGCAAGTCTTGGATCCATGTTCTTGATCTTGATAAGCCACCATACTTCTTGTTTTTAACAGATTTGGGACAAAACAAGCTTGGAATGTTTGAAAGTATTAACGGGACATACTGGCTCGGTTCTTTGTCTGCAGTATGATGAAAGAGTCATTGTAACTGGATCTTCAGATTCTACAGTGAGGTCTGTGTTAAGTTTTTGCACGAATGTCATTTCAGTATCAGGGAATATTTATGGTAATCTCTGAATATCAGAAAATATCCCTAATATGAATGTGATACTATTATTTCAAAAATAAGATACTCATACTTGGCAAAGCATCACATTCAGTACATTTTTTTTTTCCCCAAATCTCTCATTTTTTTAGTGTTAAGAATTTTGAAGGATTATGACCTGAGTGATTCAAGGCGCATATCCTGAAGTTGTAGAATGGCCAATGCCCAACTATACAATAATGATGTCTTCATTTAGGGTTTGTTGTACTGCCTTCTGACATCTCTTGATAATGAAAGGGTATCTGGTATATGTTGAACACTTCTCTGACTGCAATTTTGATGATACTGAGTTTAAATTATTGTATGAATTCAATGATTGGCAGGTGTCCAATATAAAAACACTCAGGAACAGGTCAGTGGAAGGGGCCCTCTGTCCTCCTGGTGTCTTACATTGATATACCAATGTCAATCTCTATAAAACTTTCCAAAAGTTAAGAGCTGATCTTAACACCCTTCAGGTCCTATAAGTAGTGATTTTACACTTCATGTAAGCTAGTAGGCAGCCCTGGAGGATGCTACATCCCAGTTGCTACTGACATGTGCAAAATCTGAGTGAATGGTGTAAAACTGAAAAAAAAAAAACATATTGGATAGTATTTGTTTTGGTCTGCTCCATCAGTTTATACATCTTGACGATCTTTAGTCATCCTGGAAGAGTTGTAGAATTGTTAAGCAGCTCTTTCTCTTAGCTGTGGTTCCAGCTTAGACTTTTCCTGGCCTCATTGTTCACTGCTGTTAATTAGTGCTTGTGAGTCTGAAATGTGAATTTGGGTACTTCCCCAGCACCCATCTTCCTGCCTTCTCCAAGCCCGAAGGGATGTTAAACCACCAGAGAGCACTCTGCTAGAGATAGTAGCATACTTGTGCATGTTTATGCTTTGTACCATGCATAGCCATTGTCCTTCATTTGGAATGAAATTGTTTTCTTTTGCAGAGTTTGGGATGTAAATACAGGTGAAGTTCTGAACACCTTGATTCATCACAACGAGGCAGTGCTTCATTTGAGGTTCAGTAATGGTTTAATGGTGACGTGCTCGAAGGACAGATCAATTGCCGTTTGGGATATGGCATCACCTACTGACATCACCCTGCGTCGTGTCTTAGTTGGCCATCGTGCTGCCGTTAACGTGGTAGACTTCGATGACAAGTATATTGTGTCAGCATCAGGTGACAGGACCATTAAAGTAAGTTGGCAGAGCCCTAATTTAGGCCTGCGTGCCTACCAAGCTAGAAAAGTTTCTGAGCGTTCTTCAACTCTGAACAGCCAAGGTGTTCGTAAGCTGTTCTGTGCCTTTTCCTTTACCCTTCAGCTAGCTGCTTCCTCTTGCTAGCTGTTAATGTCTTTATGCGCATAACTAGGCTCATAACATTTTTGTGGCTTCTGTCATACAATTGCAAAGAAGTAAAGCCCATTCGCTGTTTGAACTCTAGTCTCAAGATCAGTTTGTTTGTTAAATGTGGCATGTTTTGTGCCTTTTCCCAAGAGGTATTTTTTTATTTCAACTGGCAGTCCTGTTCCAGACGTGAAATTTATCAGCAGTTGCCTTTCCTCACTGTGTCTTCCCAGCAGCTCAACCAGACTTTGCCATGTTTGAAGAATTAAGAGGCGGTATTTGAAGACTGTTACATACCAGAAGATTTGAGTTACCCAGAGTGTATTAATATAACAAAGGCGTTTCTACCCTTCCCTCTCTAGAACCAGAGCGATCTTAGATTGTGCCAAAAAGCTCTTGGCAATTTAATGTCCAAATATCTGCCAGAGATCCTGCTGCACTCGGTGTTGGAAAATGAGCCACTGGATACTCTATGTTACAACTTCAATTACAGTTCGTTAAAAATGGGCAAAGTCAACTGAATCATTTAACGTTAAGAAAGAAGCAGCCACCAAACTTTTATAGGCCATGGGTTTGGCCTCCTCTTACTAGTAGATTGCTAACAATTTCTTTGGTAAAAAAAACATGGGGTTTTTGTGTATGTGATTAACTTCTACTTTTAAAAATGATTACTGACTTACCAAGATTCAAGTGTAATCAAGTTTTTAAAACCCTTTGGGGCGGTCGCTACCACCTGAAAATATTTTATATACACCCCTTGGCCTCCAACTTTTCTCATTGACTCAGTGTGCAGTAGCAGTGCTTGTGGCTCCTGGCACTGGTAGGTCCCCATAGCACCATTATTCCATTAATGCCAGGTACCCACTCTGTGCCCCAAAAATACTGTGCGAGTTTTCGTTTCACTGTCCAGCAACGGTCAGCCTCAGACCTATTCTGTTTATGAATTCATAATGGTTTCTATTGAAATTCAAAAACCTTGTTTGGATGTAATTCTCAGAGGAGCATTTATCTTGTGTTTCACAGGTCTGGAGTACAAGTACATGCGAGTTTGTTCGTACTCTGAATGGGCACAAGCGGGGCATTGCATGCCTCCAGTACAGGGATCGACTAGTTGTCAGTGGATCTTCAGACAATACCATTAGGTGGGTGCCCTCGAGCTGCTTATCAGTGTGTAACTGTGTACATTTCCATGTGTGAAAATAGGATTTCCCCTGACCTTTGATGCTGTTCTGCACTGCTGGATGTGCAAAACATCCTTGGTATGTCTTGCTGTTGGAACAGATGATGGATGAATGAACCTTAACTCAGTGTAAGAGTAAATATATCACATCCCCGTGAAAAAGTGGGACACTGAGGTTTATGTCAAAGGTAACCAAAACTTATCTATTGCTATAATTTATCACCTTGTCTTCTGCTTGGAGAGATGAGGAAGACATTGGTCTCTGGTTTTCTTAATTACTTCTGAACTGCTAATCATTGGTTTATGCAGAATAGAAAAAAAGTATATTAAAGTTTTCCAAGGTAGCTAAGCACCTTTACTTGTGCGTAATTTTAAATGACCAAATTAATTTTGATACACTGCAGCTGCAATGCAAACTTATCTCTGAATCGCATGCAAGGAACGTCTCATGGTTCTCATGCCTGAAGCAAATTATGTGATGTCTCCCACAGAAAACCATTGAGTAGCATGCTTAAATCACTGCGTGTGAGGCTGCGGGACAGTGTTCAACCTGAAGTACTCAAAGACTTTCTCCTCTATTCTCTTCAGGCTATGGGACATCGAATGCGGTGCCTGTTTAAGAGTATTAGAAGGCCACGAAGAACTGGTGCGATGCATCAGGTTCGATAATAAGAGGATTGTTAGTGGAGCCTACGATGGGTATGTTTTTTTTTTGCCTTTCTTAGCAAAGCATTTTCAGAAAGACATTGTGTCTTGTGTTCCCTCGTGTAAGGGTTCTCTTCTGATTTCACTAATGGATCAGTATTTAACTGAATGGCTTCTTGAGCATTTCGGCGCAGCAGGCTGCAGTTTTAAGTAGCCAAGAAACTGCCCTCTTGGTGCTCTTTAACACACTCCTAAACTGTGTTATCACTCAAGTTTGACTTTCCGTAGAAAGTCAACTTCTGTTTGGCTGCAGAGACATCCTTTGTTTCTTCTCTCGGGATTTGCTCCATGCCAGGTCCTGTGTGCTTCGAGTAGCTTAAGCTTTCCATTTTTATAAGACAGCAGCAGTGAAAATGTTTATTGCGAGTGTGAATACATCTTGTGGGGCTCTCAGAAGTCTTGAGTGACCATTTCTGTCGGGTTGAGGGCAAGACCCTTAGCACTTCTGACTTGCTCAGTATTTTCAGTGTAGTGGATTCACGGCAGCTAACATCCATGTCCAAATTCTCCACTTCTTTCTCTGCCTGATCTATACTTCAAGTGAACAGTAGAGTTACTGAAAGCAATTCTTGAAGTGTGTGTGTCTCTAGCCTTTTATTTAGGTTTAGTGTCTCACTGGGGCTGACAGTCCCAGCTTAGTTCCCACTGCAACTTTGCACCGCGTCAGTAGTGCTGTGAACTTTCAAGATCTCCCGCAGTCCCAGGATGGCTTGTGCATACACAGTCCATTTGTCTTTCATAGAACCAACCCACTTGGTCAGTCTCAAAGACATCGCTGTATTTGCTGCTAAGAACAAATACAAAGCTACCTGTGTGTTACGAGACTTAGCACTAGTATTTTAGTGAAAATAGATTCTAACATTTTGGCTGATCCTGATGAATAGCTGTAGTGAAAATCTGGCATGCTTTCCATTGCTTTCAATGTTTCTTCTATGCTTGTACTTGAAACAATGCTTTCATAATGACCTTCTTATTTTACTTTATAGCAAAATTAAAGTTTGGGACTTGCAAGCTGCTCTTGACCCTCGTGCCCCAGCAAGTACATTATGCTTGCGTACGTTAGTGGTATGTAAAATTAATTCATCTGGGGTTATCTGAAATCTTTTATTTGTAAGTCGGTAGCATTTTATTACATTATAGTGGGATAGGTGAGAACTTCAGGATGTTTTATAAAGCCTAGGCTGCTGCTTATTCTAAGAATAAAGAAAAATTTATGTATTGTTATATCCTGAATGGTTTGCATCTGAGCCTAAAAGAAAGATCAAGTTTTTCTAGTTTGAGATTCTTGAATACCCTGAAAAAGAAATCAGCATGAGACTGTATCAAATCATTCTAGTTATTGGTGTTTTTCCCTAATATCATTGTAGAGCTGCCTTTAAATTTCCTCTTATTAAAAAGGGAGGAGTAATCTTATGAGCCTTTCTCAAACCTTTCTCCATAACCCTTCAGTTTGGAAGGAAGAGGTGAAGAGGGAAGGGAGATGGAGTCAAACGGATTACCACAGGAACTCTAATCACTTCAGGGGACTATCTGATTTAAGGCTATTACTTATTACACTTTTCTTATGAGGGTTTTGGTTTATGACAGTAGACTTAATTAAAACTAGATTGGGGAGATGAGTTCATTGCTCTTTTCACTGAAATGTGTGTGAAATTTTACTTCAGGAGTAGTTTGACAAGCTAGTAGCAGCCCAGAGTTGTTGACTATATGTGATGGCAGCTGGCTTATTCAGCATGCGCTTGGCCTTTCCAGCACCTAAAGAAGTACTTACATGGCCAGCAAGGCTTCTAATTTTTCTTCCTATTCAGTGGTACTTGCAGGGAAATGAGGTTTAACTAGTCTTTTATTCCACATGAATGCGGTGTATTTAGTTTTACTGAAAAAGTCAATTCTTTCCCATCTGTGGGTATACTGTAGCTCAGGTTATAGTTTGGAGATCAGTCTGACAGCTTTGGTTAGTTCTCTAATAAAGCGAGCGTACTGAATTTAAATTTATTAAAAATGAATAAGCCAGGACAAGGAGGAGAACCTTTTCTGGGCCTCTGAGTGCTATTTTGAGATTGCTTGAAAGAGCTGACGGAGCACGTATTCCCCCACCTCCCTGTCTTATGGCAGCATTTGAACACGGTCGTCTTGACTAGTAAGTGAGCCGTAATGATCCTTTCAGCAGCGTGTCCTAGGTGAAGCTGCGTTGTGGTGTGCTAGGGCTATACAAAAATGGGGTTAGCAGCAGTGTTGAATGCAAATGTTACATCAGAGAAGGAGCCCAGGCACATTGTCAGTGGCGGCCCATCTTCTAAATTGTTGCTTCTTGATTGATAGGCTGCTTTTGTCTTTAATAATCTCAGCCTCTCTGACGGGCCCCTCCCGGGGAGGCTCAGGGTTTACAAGCGCTGGATTTAGAAGCCATGTGTTTTGCTGAAAAAGGCTTATATAAAAAAAATCAGCTTTTCTTAAATTTGAGCGTAATTATAGCTAAGGGTTTCTTAACCAGGACACCAGGGTTTGAATGCACCCTTCTGTGTCTAGATACATGTGTGAGTACAAATGTAATGAAACGTTACCCTTTTCTTGCCTTGCTAACTGGTTTTGTGTTGCTCACAGGAACATTCAGGACGTGTCTTTAGACTCCAGTTTGATGAATTTCAGATCATTAGTAGTTCCCATGACGATACAATTCTGATTTGGGATTTCTTAAACGTGCCACCCAGTGCCCAGAATGAGACCCGCTCTCCATCTAGAACATACACTTACATCTCCAGATAACAGTCTGCACTTTACTACCCTCAGAAGGTAAGTCTCTCTGTTTTTCTTGGATGAATTATAAATATTTGAAATTATCACGCTGCAGGTTGGCTTAGTTTAAACCACAAGCTGATATTTTCCTTAAGAAATAAAACCTATTTATGCCACTTCTTTCACTATCTAGTCTTTGTATGGTCATGCTTCAGCTTATAAAACTTGTCATGTTATCTTACCCCCTTCTGTAATCCCTCCTGTTTCTAATTGGGCACTTCAGGTTTTCTATGGAAAGCTATTATGTATTCACAGCATTCTTGGAAATTGAGGAGATCTGGTGTATCGCACAGGTGTTCCAGATACCCTGTGAAATCAGAGCCTTTCAGAGCTCTCAATGCCTCTGCTCACTGTGTGAGGCTTTGTAATGAGCATCGTAATGCATGTCTAATAAACTGAACGCGTGTATGACCTTTGGACAAAAGCTCATCAGAAATGAGTGGTTCTGTGATAACCACAAATAGTAGGGAAGGCTTTCAGAACTAAAAATTACATCACGTTAGGCAGCATGACAACTCAGAGCTGTCAGAAATGGTGCGCGTGAACTTTGCCTGTTTTGTTTCCATTTTTCTGTAAGTCAGCTTCGTTTAGTTCTCAAAGCCCAGTGGGTAAAAGCTCCGCTGTAGAGCTGTTTGTTAGGACAGTGGATTCTTTTCCTTATGTCATCTATATTGCTGCCGACACTTGCACTTGAAACTATAAATAGCTGTGAATGCTGGGACTTGGAAGCACAGAAACTGCCTTACCAAAGCAGAGCAGTCGCCCCTTTCTGCAGTGCCCCGTCTCTGCCAGTGCTGAGACTGGATACTTCCAAGGAAGTGGAGACACCGCAGCAAGGGGAGTTAGGAGTGACATTGCCCCAACAGGAAGAATTTATTTTAAGTAGATAATTAATAGTTGTGGGAAAAACTTTCCCCGTCTTCATGTAAGCATGGATTTTCATTATCTATCTGCATGTGCTTACCCCTGCTGCGGCCGTGAGTTCCTCAGGTTTTCCACTCTTTCTGTAGAATCTCTGCTGCTGGCTAGGAAATACCTTCCCTTGTGAACACTTTGTTTCTCTGAGATTCTGGTTCTTAAAAATTAGGTTTCTTTCACCTGTAGGCATTCCTCAGGAAAGCGCTGGCTGCCATTCCTACTACCTGAACTCCTGCTCATTTTAAAAAAAGCCAAGGCAACAGCCTCTCTGGATATGACACTTGGATCTGTTGGCTTGTTGTGTCTCACAGAGGGTCAAAGCAACTGGCTGGCCATTGCTAGGCTGAGTTGCCTGTCTTTCTGAACCTGTAATTACTTAATATAATTAGGCCCATGATGAAGGAAGGAGTCTTAGTTATGATGATGAGCTAGTGTGCAGAATCAGCTGTTAATGGAAGAAAAGATAAAAAGCCACATTTTAAGAACACTGCTGAAAGGGTAGTTTAGTAAAACTCATGGACTTCCTTATCTTGCCTGCAGTAGGACATCAGAAGTCTGAAAAGGCTAAACTGCTAAACTTAATGTTTGTACAGGGTGGGGAAGTGACTAAAGATAAATCCTGAAGCTACCCAGAGTGCCAGGTCCTCCAGCGCTGTTTATCTGTGACTTCCACTTCAAAATTACTGTGTGTAATCCAGGATGACATAGTTGCATCCCTGTGGAAAGCTGGATGCTGTCACTGATGGTAATGTCCCAAGGGAGTTTGTCTTGCTCCTTTTAAGACAGAGATACTGCTATTGGCTTCTGTGCCACCTGGTCCATAGCTGAGTGAACTTCTGCTGTGGAAACTCCAAGGCTTGTTGAAGTTGAATGGCTTTCCCTCTCCGTGGAAAACTCTTTTTCCTCCTTTCTGAGTAATTCTATTTCTTTTCCTCGCCTTTCCAGGCAAACAGAATAGGCTGTGTGAGAAGACTACAGTAGTTTTAGGAACAATCCATATCTATCTTCCAGTTCGTACACCAGTGCTTCCTTCTGTTAATTTATGAGATAATGAGAGATTGACAGGGTGTTTTTTGTTGTTGGTTTTGAAATAACAGAAGTATGTTTGGCAGGCTTCTTTTATTAGTTTTGATTCATGGAAAAGCTATACATAGCGTGTCTTAAGCACAAAAGAAATTAGGACTTGAATAAAATTTATATCAATTCGCTTGACCAGCAATATGCTGGTGTCTGTCTTTCCTCTCTTGCCACATGTGGCCCACAAGACCCACTGTCATTGAGATTTGTCAGTGAAATATGAAATGCCTTTGGCAGTGTGTTCTTCCGTTCGAATTCTGCACACTTGACAGTTTTGCACAGCTTATGTCTGACTTGTCCCATGACACACAACTGAAACCACGCAGGCCTCCATATCCTGGGAGTTGTTGGTGTTGGTAATGACAGTCCCTTAATAATTATTTCCTCTATAGGAGAGATGCTGTGATGTCACTTTTTGACGGGTTTGCCTGACTTCAGAATCCAAAAAACATAAATCTACATAAAATTACGGTCAAACAGCTAATATTTCAGTATGACATTTAATGAAACAGTTTTATATGCTTTCAAACATTATAGTTTTCTGAATTTTGAAGCAGCCCTGTACACTTTTTTACAAGGCTTGCAATGTTATGTCTTTTCAAAGCGGATCATTTTTGACAGTCCTGGCAGTTGGCTGCGAGAGTTTTATTGCTTTCTGTTGAATTCCTGTTGTTTATTGTAACATGATAAAAATTGTTACCATATGATAGTCTAATATCCTTATATTAAGCACTAGGCCTTGGGCTGGGGGGAGGGAAGTCAAGGGGAAGTGCCTAAAGATGTTTTAACCTTTCATGGGAGTTTCATATCAGAAGAGGATAGTTCTCCATAGTCCGTAGAAATGGTTTTGGGAAGTGGCAGGTAAAATCAAAGTTCAGATTTAATTACACTAAGAAGTTGCAGTGTCTCCAAGGAGTCATGCGATTGGAAAAAGTAACCGAAATATAAAAATACTTGAGTTTTTGGTCTGTTTCCTTAAAAACTCATGTATTACTGCAACAGAACTTGCATTCCGTGCAAAACTTGCTCCTCTGCAGTGTGGAGAAGAAAGAAACGTTTTTCTACTGTTGTACACAGGTCACTGTTTCAGTAAATAGTGTTCGGCTCGTAGCGAGAGTAGCCAGCGGTTCACCTCCAGTCCCATGGAGGGCTTTTGATTCTTATTACGTGGATGAAAACTATAGGCCAAGCTAGAGGTGACCCCCCCAGGGACTAGTGCCATTGAGAACCTGAATTCAGAGCATGTTCTACAAGGGAGGCGACGGCCTGTGGAGGTGCCCCTCTCCTCCAAGGAAGGAGATCTAGCACAGGGGGAAGGATTTAAGGGCGAGCACCCCCTTAACGCGTCACATAAGCGTGCGCTCCTCGCAGGTATTTCACTCGCTTAGCTTCAACCCAAAGCGCAAAAGATGGTGTGGGCCTAACCTCTTCCAGATGTCTCCAGATGCTGCTTTTTTGTTATTTGCATCTTCTGCCAGTTCAGCTTGTCTTTTGTCTTTTTCAGGGTTTCACAGTCTTGAACTACTGGATATTTGGCTACTACATGCCTGAAGATGTTGATTGACAACTAAAGTCAGAATTGGTTCTAGATGCTGTGTAGATGCAAAGCAGCACAATTCTATATCTAAATTTCTTAATCTTTCCTGCTCTCAGTGGTCGGTCGTCTTTGAATTTACTGCAGATTCACTGACTTCGAGTAGATGAATTTCAGAAGCCTATCCTTCCCTGCAATGAGAAATCCAAAGCTTCACATGTAAATTGTCCGTAGAAACTGAACTCTGATGGCTTGTTTTTCAGAAATAAAAAGTCAAGAAAGGACTTGGCCTAATTTATATTGCTTTGCACTTTTGTCTGACTTTAAAGAAAAAAACATTCTCCGATGAAATTTGGGTGCCAAACACATACCCAGAATGTACAGAGCTTTGCTTTCAAAGTCACCATTGTCCTTTAGACTTTACTCTCATGACAGATTCAGAGCCTGTTTTGTTTGATAGGAGTGTATGTTGGACTCTTAGAAATGTTTCTGAATCGCTCAGTAATGTTTTTGGATTACAGTTTACTTGTTTCTGCACCAATAATTTCTTTTAAATTAAAGATTACCTGTAATTCAGGCTAGGTTACCTAAACTAGTGTATAGCACTGTCTTTTCCTTTTAACTGTGCTCTGTACTACAGCCGTCCTACGCTTCCTAATGTTTGGTATAGTAAAACCTTTCCACGTGTGCTTGCCTCATTTCAAATACTGTATAAGCATGTAGATATAATGTACATAGCAGCGTAACCTCCGGGTGCTAGGAGTCAGGATTTCCTGACACTACACACTAATACAAAATGTGGTAGCACTTGGCAGCAGGATGTTCTAACTACTGGCACTGTAGGGGTTAATATGAGTTACTTAGACGTTTTCTCTGCAAAAGGAGGTTTTCAGTATTCATTAGGATTTTTTTAATGGGAACTACATATTTTAAAATGTAATTTCTAAACTTTTTAAAAATTAAAAAGTGTTTAATTTATGTTCTGTATCTTATATTTTTGTGCCGCAGTATTTACAGATGTCTTTCTTTTAGCACCAGTAGGTCCTCGCGAACGCCTGCTGATGTCCTCCTTTAGCATTAGTTTGCCTGCTCAATGGAGAAGCTGCCATGGGCCAAAGTTAAATTTATTTATGTTTGATTTGTAACACTTCCTTACGGTGGAGGGGAGGTCCCCTCAAGTCAGTGCTCTGGTTACCATGCTGATTGATTACCGCGCTCGTTTCCCTTTCCGTAGCTTTCCGCCATGACCACCTTGCGATGTCCTGGCCATGGTTCCTCTTCATTAACATGTCCTCATTAGGAACTCTCAGCAGTTTCTTCGTCCGCTGTCACAGTCTCCTGTCTAATTTATGTGATCATAACAAACGCTCCTGCATTTTTCTTACGTCCCAGTAAGACACGGATAAATGCAAACGTGAATATTTTATCTGCGTTAGCCATGTGTGACTACGCCTGTCGGTGGCTTTTCTTTAATGCTTCAGTCTCGCTGAGCGTGAAATCTGCCTGTTTTCCTGGGGAAGACGCGTGCTGGCGCAGCAATGTATTGTCATTCCTTTGATCGTTTGTACGTCGTGTGTGTGGGTTTTTTTGTTTTGTTTTGGTTTTTTTTTTTTTTTTTGTTTTGTTTTTTTTGTTTGTCCTCTGGCAGCACTTCCTCGGGTTTGCATTTTCCCCTTTTACAACCAGAAAAGCTGGGGGATGGCCGATTGCCGAGGGATCGGGGCAGCCGTGCCTGGGCGCATCGTTTCTGTGTCAAGTGAATTCAGAGAAAAGGCGTTCGTCGGGGCGCTACCAGACCGTCACAGAAGTGTGACTTCAGGTTTTCTCCTCTTCACCCTTCACACTGAGAGAGGTGTTGGGATCAGTGTTTAAGTTAAACTCCCATTTACGTGTTACTACAACAATATTTATTTCATCGAGATGACCGAATGTGGTGAAGTACAGAAGATTAAAACCACGCTCCTAAGCGTCCATAAGATCACTTTTTGGTAAGCTTGACAGTAGTTCGTGAAAGTGTCTTACTTTACCCTTCTCATCTAATAGCTTTAATATTAAACTGTTTAAAAAGAAAAATCTCTCGCAGCCCTGAAGAAAAAAGGTATTTGTTTCCGAAGAATGGAGTCCTTTTTTTTAAAAAAATGCATGTGTAAGATTTAAATTCATGTTTTTTCCTTGGGAGATAATGGTATTTGAACATGCAGTCTAAACTTCTTTGTGCTTTGTGTAACATAGCAGTGGACTTTTGTGATTGGCACCCAAGGAACTTGACTCCTGGGATTAATGGTAGTGATCCTGGCTGCGCTCTGGACTTTGTTTGCTAACCATAATTGAGCAACTGTACATTACTGCTACATTAATGTTTCAAAGCACTGGGATAGTCTAATTCTAACTTGTAATTATGTTTGCCAATTATCTGTTTGGAAAGTTGATGTATGAACAGCTTCTTGAAACTGTTAAATTGTACAGATATCGTTCATGATCTAAAGCTTTGTACTGTGGAATGTGCTTAATAAAAAAAAAAAAATTTGAACCTCATTTGTCAAATAAATGGAGAAGTAACGGCGTCCACCCAAGCGTCGGCATCACGCGTTGGTGGAGGCCAGCTCAGCGCGCGTCGCGCTCTCGGAGCTCGTGCTGGGCGCCGGTGCCAGACCCGGCGGGTGCCCTGGCCCGGGCGCTGCCGTCCCGGGGTGGTTTCTTACCCTTTATTACAGCGCGCGCCTGGGGAGGACGCGGTGGAAAACAGAGCTGGGCTGGTTCGCCCGCCTCAGAGCCACTTCGCCCCTCCGCTTTGCCGCAGCGCCTCCGTGCCACGCGGCAGTAGAAGCATCACAAGAAGATTTTTTTTTTTTTTCTTGCTTTATCAAAAATGCAGATATAAATTTTTAAATCTTGCCCATTTCCTTAGTAGCTAAAGCAATGTTCATGCTCTGAGCCCTGTGCAGAGAAAGGGTCTTCCAGTGCTACCTCCGCCTCAAGAAAAGCTTTTTTCCTGGATTTTCCTTAGCTAATGTGCAATGACTAGTTGAGAATAAGTGATTCAAAGATTTTTGTCTTCGCTCTCTCTCCTCTGGTCTTCTGCCGGTACTTTTATTTGTGGGTTAAGTTCTCTTTTAAACTATTTAGGAAGGTGCTGCTGCATGGTTAATGAGCTGCTCCAGTGCAATTCTGAACAATCTGAGCAGAAGTGATTGATGGTGCAGATCCTCTGCTGCTGCCTGGGGCCGTTAGCACGGGGGCACTGGCCAGGACCTTGCTGGCTTGTCGAGGTCCAGGTGTGAGATCAGTGGCGGGTGAAAACGTCGTGTTAAATCATGGCGCTTCAGCCATCTCGGGGAGGGGGGTTGAGACGGCTTTGTACGCCAACGGTGGGGCTCACCAGTGATCTTCTCTTGAAAGTGTTATTTTTGGTACGGTGTATGTTAGAAGCACTAACTTGAAATGTTTGTAAAGGTGCTGTAAACTGTGCTAAGAACATGAACAAAGTTCTGGCTAAATACTAGCAAATTCGGGCTTCAAAAATGTCTCTCTAATGTAGATTCCAAGAATAAAAATCACTTTTTATTCTTGGCCCGCTCTGGACATGTGACAAAATTACACGACAGTGGATGATACTTTTCAAAGCAATGTTACTGCTGCACTTCAGCCAGAGGAAAGCAAGTTAAATCTCATGTTGTCGTGGTCTGAGCCTGGTCGGCAGCCAACCACCATGCAGCAGCTCTCTCTCCTTTCCCTTCCAGCAGTAAGAAGGGACAGAGAGCCAGGCTTGGGGTTCGAGATAGGACTGGGATGGGGAAAAAAATCCCCCCTTTTATGATCACGAGCAAAAGGCAGACTCGTTAGGGGAAGAAAAAAAGAACATACATTTATTACAGACACTAACAACACATAACAGAGTAGGACAGTGAGAAGCATTGCCACATCTTGAGAACACCTTCCCCCCACCCCTCCCTTCTTCCCGGGCTCAGTTTTGCTCCCGATATCTCTACCTCCTCCCCCAGTGGCGCAGGGGCAGGGAATGGGGGGTGCAGTCAGTGCTGCCACTTCCTTCATCTTCGGTGAGGGGAGTGTCCAAAACTTGTTCCCCCTGCTCCATCGTGGTCCCCCTCTCACAGGAGACAGTCCTCCACAAACTTTCTCCAACATGAGTCCCTCCCACGGGCCACAGCGTTCCCCACACTGCTCCGTCATGGGTCTGACTGGATTCCCTCCCACGGCTGCAGCCCTTCCCGAGCTGCTCCGGTGTGGGACTCCCCCGCATGCTGCAATCCTCCCAGCACTGAATTACAGCAGCAGGGCTGCCTTTTCCCATGAGACTCTGGCCTTCTTTGGGCACAGCACCTTGATCATTCCAAGCAGAAGCCATAGGCCATAAACCAGTGTCAGCTCCACCGTAGATCTCCATGGGTGGCAGGGGGGGGCCGCCCTGCCATCTCACCACAGGATACAGGGGGGTCTCTGCTCCGGCACACCTCCCCCCTCCTTTCTTCCTCCGTCCCTCCACTGACCTTGGTGTTCACGCAGCTGCAGCAACTCCTCCACACCAGTCCAACTGCCCATCACCACGTCCCTTCTTAAATACGTTATCGCAGAGGTGCAGCTGATGGGCTCAGTTTTCAAACAGAAGTGGAGCTGACTTGGAGCTGGGGGAGCTTCGAGAAGCTTCTCACAGGGGGCCGCCCCGATAGCCCCCTCCCCTGCCACCAAAAAACTCCACCACTCACTCAACCCAGGACACATGTATTTTCTGCTAGAAGTGTATTCTAAAAAATGAAGCCTCACTGAACTATTTTAAAGGGGTTGTGAATGTCTCGCTGTTATCCAAATATGCCATAAAAGCTCTGTGATATATCTGCTCAAATCTGGAGTGTAAACTTTGAGGTCAAACTTTAAAATTCCAGCTTACCTGGGTGGCCTTCGGTTTGGGTTGTTTTGTTGGGTTTTTTCCTTGCAGTCGTGGCCTATTTAAGAGTCATCTGTTCATTCCCACCGGAGAACTTCACAGTGGAGTTGTGGAGGCACCTCTGGGCCGGGTGCTCCCACCCGTCCTGGTGTGGTTTGGGGCCCCTTTTGTCTCTCCCCTCTCGCCCCAGCTTGGCAGTGTTACGCAGGCCTGGGCGCGAGGGTTGGGGTTACCCCGCTTGCTGCTTCGCTGTGTGCTGTTACCTGCTGCTCTCTGGGGGGGGCACGGGGGAGGGGGGGGGCAGACCCCAGGCTGCTGCTGCTCCTAACTGCTGCTCGCTTTGGGTAACCGGGTGACGGGAAAGGGCTTGTGCTCAGCCATGAAGTGACGGGGCGTGCGAGGTCCCCCCGTGCCCCGTGTTGGGTGGGAGCGATATTCTCACTGCCCCGGGTCACTGTCCTGATCTGTGCTGTGTGTTGGTTTATCTTCCGGGCAGCTTCGGCACCACTGTGGGCATTGTTTCTCAAGAGGATAGGAGGGGACGAGCGCTCGACAGAAAACTACAAATGATTTTTGTGAGATGCTTTTAAAACTCGTATTTGAAGATACGCTGAAGTGGGGCTGGGCTGTTGTGCTTGAGCTGGGACTCCTGGCGAGGTTCGGTGTTGGTGGCTCCCCTGGCTCTGGTTTTCCAACCGGAGTGTGGTTCCCCAGCCTCATTTGTCACCCTAAGGAGGAGGCTGCCCCTCTGTCACTGCTGGGACTGGTTGCTATCGTGTGTCTGTGTGCGCAGGGAAGTCACTCTTGGCTTTTCCACCGTGCCAGCACTGTGAGTAACAGCTTCGCAGCGGAGGAAGTCTCCTCTTAAATCTGACTTGGCTCAGCCTGGGCTGGCTGTCGAGGTCGGAGCTGTGTTGATGAGCTTAATTGGGTGCAAACACACTTCAGTCAAATTAATCAACACAAAGGGTTGAAGAGCTGCAACTTTCTGAGCCTGGGGGCTGGTGTGGGTCAAGGCAGAGCCTGGGAGCAGCTGGGGGGGATGGAGATGCTCGGTGTGACTGCTCCTGGGAAGGGCAGAGCAGGAGCTGAGCAGGGGGGTGTGATGTGGTGCTGGTGCTCCCTGCTGCTGAGCTGAGCCAGGTAACTCCCGAGTCCGAGGGTTTTTCAGGTTCCACAGCACAGTTTGCAGCCGCGAGCTGGCTGCGCGCCATGGCCAGGGCTGTGCCGCAGGCAGCGGGTGCCCTCACTCAGACCCAGCAAAGCCCTTTTCCTACCCCCCTGCCCGGGGGATGGTGCTGGGGACATGTCCCGTCCCCGCACCCGGCTCGGCCCCGATCATTTGACAGCGGGGAAGAGCACCGAGCACCGGCGCCCCGAGTCCAGGGCTGCGTCGAGAGGGGCCGGGCTGCGGGGCACCGCGTGGGGATGTTCTTGTTCTGCGCCCCCGAACCCACCCCGGCCGCGGATTGCAGAGGCCGTGTGCCAGGGGATGCTCAGGTCTTAATTACCGAGATAAGAAAGGTGATTGATAGATTAAAAGATAACAGCAAACCAGGTACCCATCGCAGAGGGCGGGTGCTGAGCAGGGCAGTTGGCCCCTCGGCCGAGGACGGGCAGCGGCGGGGGGATGCGGCGCTGAAACCCCAGCCAAGGGCACGGCGGGGTTTGGGGAGCAGCGAGGGGACACGGTGGGCGTCCTCCAAAAGCCGTGGCTCAACGTGGCCCAGCTCCTAGAAGCAATCGCAGGTCTGTCACTTGTACAGGTCACAGGAGGAAAGCTTTAGAAATTGTTCTGGGGATCAGGTGGAAACAATCGTTTTGGTGCTCAGGGCGAGGGTAGCTCAGGGCAGGCAGTGTGTCCCCTCCTGCCAGGCTCACAAACCGGAGCTGCTGGGGGGCAAAACTTTGCTTTACCTTCAACCCCTTCCTGATGAGGTGGTGTGTGGGTGCTGGCTGCTAGCCAGGACCTAAACAGGCCAGGGGGTGGCAGCGGGAAGGCTGGTGCTGAGCGCTTGCACACTCATGACGTGCTCTGTGGGCTCAGGAGGCTATAAGGGACCCAGACCTGTGACCAGCTGGTTTGCAGCACTCTGGTCCAGCAAAGGCTTTGGTGTCCCCGTGGTTTGAGCTGCTTTCCAAGCATGGGTGCTTTCTGCTGCCCACACGGGGCTGGAAATCGTGCCAGGTACCATCCTGCCACGGCCCCTTTCCCCATCTGCCCAGCGAGCAGGAGCTTTCCTGCCTCTTTTCCAAGGGATGTCCCTTCTGTCCCCGTGGGTTGGGGTTTTGTTCTGTCTTGCCAAGCTTCTTCACCCCCAAAATCCACCCTTGCCTTGTGCCTTGGCCATGCCTTCCTCCCCAACACAGCTCTACCTCCTCCCCAGCACCCTCTCGCACCTTCAAACAGCAAAACAACGGGGCCAAGCTCTGCCGCGATCCGCTGGGGACGGTGGCAGGGCTGTGCCTCTCCAGCGGGCACAGCTCAGAGGTGGTGGGTCCCTGCTCTTGGCACCCACCCCCTCACCTGGGCCCGGGGGTGCTGCCAGCCCGGCCGGTGCCCCCGCCTGCGGGAGGCAGCCGCTGCTCTCCCCTGCCAGGAGCTGCTCGGCTGCAACGCGGAGCCG